TTCCCTCACTGATGCTGTGAGCTCAGACAAAGAACAAGATTTCTATTGAAATATTTTACTTTTTTATGAGAATAGGCAGTTGACTGAGTTGTTTCCTCATAGTTCAATTATACCAATAGACTGAATAAAAAATAAAATAAGAATGAAAAATAAAAGCACAATGCTGGGATCTTTATAGCCAGTAGTGACAAAAGCACCAAATGAGCATGCATTGTCCTTTAGCATTCCACTGTCCTTTTACTTATTGGCTGGCCAATCAAGAAGTGCAACTCACTTAATGTTCTCAGACACCCTTTAGGTTCCCAGAAGACACCCCCTTGTTAGACATCTTAACAAATGAAGACTTGGGTGAGATATGGTTGTGGTTTCGGGGTTCTGACTTTGCGGTTTAAGACTCTTATCCAAACCAGACGTTTAAAGCTGCTATAAACCATATTTTTTTATATCAACAAAGGGTGAGGTGTCATTCACAGTGGCACACCCACAGATAATTATGACTCAACTCTGCAGTTCCCTTCAGCTTTGTGGTATGTGTTAGTTTCTTTCAGCTTTGTGTTTTGCTGAGTATAATTCAATGTTGTATTTACAGCTTGTTAAGCTGCCCCCAACTTAACTTTCAAAAGCTTCAATGACCTTACTCAAATATTTAAAGACAAGTTATGAATATAATACCCATGCACCAGGCAAACTCTATACATACACACCAATGCTTAATTTAAATATATTTATAAAGATGTGCATCCCTAAAACCCTATATTGTCTAACTTTAGATGTACTAGATACGGCTAGGTTGATGTCTTCTAAATATCTAGTCAAAAAAATCTGGTCACTATAAATCTAAATTGGTCATATTTTGCAGTAGCAACATAGTCACAATAGCAACACGTATACAAAGTCTAGAATACAGATTGTGAAAAGCATCATCTTTGTAAGTGTTTGTGCCGAAGCATGATTCGTCATGTTTTCAGGGTTCTTTTTTAATAGCAGCATTTACTGTGCTCTGGCACAGCCTGCACTGGAGTGGCTACAGATGTTAGGGTGGAACACATTTCAACACAGAGTGACGTAACCTCAGGCACTGTCAAGCTCTGACCTTGGATCAGCTTACCATCCCTTGAATACACCTTATCCCAGAGAGACTGAAAAAAGTTAAGTTGGCCTACTACAGCTTAAAGGCAGCCTGGAGTAACAGTCACACTGTAGCTTTTTGGTTACACTGGAGATTACGCTGCAGTAGATAGAGTACTGTATCAGAGATCAGATCTGTACTCTATACAAAATACATCATTTTTACTGTCCTCACCGCATTGCACTCGTGGATGTTACAATCTCACATGAAGGTTTGAGGATGTTGATGATGACTACAATACATCATCTGTGCATAAGATTGAATTTGTCAGCTCAACACTGAAATAATCATACACCTCGCGTCTCAACTCCTGCTGAGCACAAGATTCCTAAACCCCCCAAAGCACGAGAGCCCACATGACAGACCTATTTAATATTCATTCTTTATTTTGGAGCCTCTCGCCACAGCAGAGAGAGCAGTTTGTATCCTCCCTCTGGAGCCTGTCTCTTCCTCTGTCTCAGGTTGTCTTCTCTTCCTCACCCACAGATGGTGGTGTCACATCCCTCACAAGTGTCTACAATGAAGACGTGGTCTGGACTGATGTAACTTTGATTTTAGTCATCAAACAGCCCACTTCACAACTCTTAAAGCTACTGTAATCACATGTAAATATTGGCAGCAGGTCATTATGTGTGACTTGAAAGGGCTCACTGTGACTCCCAAATCCACAGAGACTTAATGCCCAGTTCTGCAGTTTCTTCAACTACAAGGACCTTTAGGGTGTTTTTCAGTTCATAGTTTTAATTTACTACTTGCAACTTTATAGTTTTCAATGCTGTGTTTATAGATTTTTGTTTTTGCCGGTTTAATTGTGGTCATTGGTTTGTGGCAAAGTAATTTGCCTTAACGTTTGAAGATCTGTCCAACTACAGTCAAGGCAGTATTCTTCTTTTGAAAAGAAAGAAAAATATATGTGGAGACAGCATTGTGTTCCTACACAGTCAGTTACAAACCAGCAGATAGTAACAAAATATTTATTTTTAATTATCACCTCTATATTAACTGTATGCTTCAAAAAGGTAAAAGTTTAATCTGAACCTAGGTGGTCTCATACTTCTTAAACACTAGAATACATTTTTAAAATTTGCCAGCTCAATTCCCACTCTTGCCAGTCCTCATGTCTTTGGGCAAGTTGCTCCCAGTGGCCAAGTCTGTGCCTTCTGTGCGCCACCATCGATATGTGTGAGTGAGCTGGTGCTGCAGATGGCTGCCTCGGTTCTGTACCGCAGACCAAGTCCTTGTCTGTGTAACATACTTGACCGTCATCTTAATCTTAACTTTAATATATATCTTCAATATATATCCCAATTAACAGCAACAAACATCGTGAAGCTGGAGGGTAGTTGCTCCAATTCAGCTTTTTTCTTTACTTTGAAGAACTCCTATGCTACACTGTGTCATTGCAATTTTGTGGGACTACTGGAATTGGGGAACTGTGAATCTTCTGAGATCTTCAGCTCCAACCTCCACGTGCCCCATAACATGTACGTAGAAACAAAAACTCCACAGGTGTCAGAGCCGTGACAATGAATGACTCCACAACACGCTCTGCTTACCATCTGTCTTTTCATGATCACTGCCACCACAGGGTGCCAAAGTGCTCCTCCAGACTACTCTGTGTGGTCTCACAACACAAACTCAGAATACAAATGTTACAACATGCAGTATAGATCTGAGATCACAACTCCAGCAAACCCCAGCTGTGATTAAAAAGAGGCTGTTTTGTTTTATCAGTCCTCTTCACTTCCCTTATCAGCTCATTTGTATAATTAACAGTGGCTGACGCTGTCCTTGCAAGCAACTGCCACTGATTTCTCCTGCTTGGAATTTTGTCCTTCTTGATGGAGCCACTGCAACCTATGTGAATGCAGGTGCATTCAGGATTATACCTTTACATAATACCTTTGATAACACTTTAAACAAAGCAGCTTTTGGCTATGTAAGAGTCCACCTCCAGGGCCTTTTGGTGCCAGGGTGTGTTTCTGTTATCAGCATTAGCAACTCAAATGTAAAACAGCTGGTAATTCCTGCATACCAACAAGGGAGTAGAACTGAAAAGACAACTAAACCGTAGCCTATTTTGGGAAATCTATCAATATTGTAGTCCAGTACAACACCACCTTTAACTATAACCTCAGTAATAAACATATAATCGAATTTATACATTTAAGACAATTTCACCAACAACTGAAACATTTTGAGCTTCATAAATGCAGATTTTACAGGTGTACCTAAGAAAGAGGCTGGTGACTATATATTTAGCAAACAGCAATGACATTTTCAGGTCACTCTCATCAATAAAGCATATTTAAGCAAATAAGGAGCATATTTTCAAAAACGTTATGCGATTATTATGCCGTACATTTTGGTGTCTGGTTGTCAAAGTAAGAGGAAGAGTGATGAAATCAATTACAGAGCAGAAGGCAAGGGTTCTCCAACACTAATAACTTCATCAATTCAGCACCAGCTGATATGATTGTTAGACACACTCAGTGCAAATTTCCATTTTTTAGCAGAAAACACTTCAAAGCTAATGGATATCAAGAATCAGATGGAAACTGTTTTTGCATGTTAATGTAAGTTGCCCTTTATTATAAACTTTACTGCTATAACCTCAATAGCTATTTATGGAAACGATGGCAATATCTCCCTATTGTAATGTAATTCAACCACATGACTTTTTCTTAGTCTAAAATGTTCCTGCTTGTATAAACATATTCTGATATCACAATCCTAAACAAATTTAAATGATGCAGGTTGAGGATTAAAGTACCTACACAGCCGTGACCCACCAACACAGCTGTGTGTGCTACCTCTTCACAAAACAGTGTAGGTGTGAACAGACTGTGGGTGGCTGACAGCTCCCTCACACTCCTTTGTTTTATTGCACCTGTTGGGGCAGGACATTGTAGTTTACATTGTTATTGTTGTTTTTAACCAGTAGAGGTTAGTGATATTTTGTCATTTTAACCTAACTTCAACCTGAGCAGAAGTCGGTGGTGTGCAGGACATTTAAGTTCTCACATCAAAAAGTTAATTACTATACTACAACATATAATAATCGCTTAAAAATAATTGAACATTATATAACAGTGTGAAGGCTATTTACAGGTGGACTGGTCTTTAACAGCCCAGCTTGTGGGTAAACGACAGTATTTTATGTAAGTGTAAGTGTAAGTGTGCAATCTCTCTACAGGCTACTGTAATGCGTACCCTAACGTTCATCCCTGTGTCACTGCCACCACCACCACTGTGCCTTTCATATCATAGCTGTCACATTTGGCATCTGTCCATGTCTACAAATCCCAGATTAGACTTTGCTCATGAATATAACACAAGCTGTTTTTAGAGCAGCCAGATTCAAAATGATCCTCCTCAGCAAGGTTCACCTCTGTTCTTCTGGCCTTATTTTGATCAGAGATCATTTTAAGAAGGACTTTTTTAAATTGCAGTAATCCAATTAGGAATGTTGCATTTCAGTTCTTTACCATTCTAAAATAATTACTCAACTGCAGCTTTAACAGGCTGTTTACATACAATACTGTTCACAACATAGAGCATGTCTGTGTGTGTTTGACTGCATGTGAAGGTCAGCTGACCTAACAGTCGCTGTGAACGCAGGGTCACTGTTACTAGATCCTTAGAGAAATGCCCAGAGGAAGGTGAGTTGTGCTGCTGCGTGATGAGTACCCCTTTTTTCCCCACCTGCTCTAAAATGATGTCCTTCTCCCTCCCTCCCTCCCTCCCTCCCTAACACTTGTCATGTGCACACATATTTGTCTCATTGCTTGCTCTCCCTTTCTCTTACATCTACACTCCTAATATGTCTCTCTCTCTTTCTCTCTCTGCCCCTCTCCATTTCTCTCTGCAGGCTCTCTGACAGTGTCCATCACCGACATGCGTGCTCCAGTGGTGGGAGGGTCCGGCGGGGTCTACGCTCTGTGCTCAGCGCATCTGGCCAACGTCGTCATGGTAACTGCAATCATCATCGTCTTCATTGTTACATCTGAAAACAGTTTTTAATAGAGACTGCATGTCAGAGTCATCCACATGTTGTGAGGGATAAGACCACCGTACTCATCTGCATCCTGGGTTTCAGTGTAATCTGCTTTGATGCTGGTTGGAGGTTTTTCCTGCTGCATGAAGTTCACATCATTGTCATAAGTACTCTTCATTGCCCAACACTTTTTAGAAGCACGATGGAATATTCCCAAGACCAGTGACGTGCGGTGAGGTTGACAGCTGGTGAGGCACTGACTCTTTTACAGTCAGATTTACAAATACAAATGAACCTTTAACATATTGTCTGTTAACAGACAATGCTTTATGTTTTATATCTCATATCAACATTCTTCACACAAACGTGACCCATATTTAATTTGGTTAAAATTTATTTCAATTGAGCTTATTTCTAACTAGAAATAATAAAAGTTTATGGTCTTGCCTTTACTTGTACACGAAATCCATTTGTCAGCTGTTATGTATTACAAACCCTTTTACGATTCGAATCCAATATTAAAACAAATGTTCTCAATAAAGAAGATCCTTCTGGACAAAAATGTCCAGACTGTCAAAAATGTTTTGATTGAAAGTCCAGATTTGCGAATTTTCTCAGCTTGGAAATGTAATCTTCCATTTTGATAAGGCGGATTGTAAAGGAAATATAAACAAGCACGAAGAAGATTGTAGGTAGCGCAAGAATCTGTGGGCTCACTAGCGCCCTCTGCAGAGGGCCTCTATTTGCGACATATAGACGGACAGCGACACACTATTTGCATTGCATACAGTTTGTGAGGATTACACGATCCACCGAGAGGCACAGCAAAGTGCTGCCTCATCGCGCATCTCCTCCATGTATTTGAACGGGACATACGGGAATTCTGCTATTCTTTATTGAAAAAAATTCTGTCAACATCGGATTCGAACGGCAAAAGGGCCTACAACACACACCAGTCGACAAATATTAACATTTATTATATTTTATGTTTAACTTTTTTTTTCTTTTCAAGATTGACACACCTGCCTCCCCTGACCGCACGTCACTGCTCAAGACCATGTGACAGTTTATCTAGTCATCAGCCAGATGAAGAAGCTGAAGGTTGCTAATGAGCAGCATACGCAAAAGACCCTTTTCTAGTATTGCACATTGATAACCCTTTCCTTTTTTCACTGTTCTCATCTGTATTGATGAATCTCATGTGAACTGGCATTTCAGACACTTACATTAATTATTAAGACTTTGTTTATTTATGCCCACTGAAGAAACAGGGAGTGAATCCTCTTCGGCCATTTCCAGTATTTATTTGTGCGTATTTCTGTCACAAGGTCTTGGTGTGAAATGCCTTCCGCATTCTCTTCAACTCTCGAGGCGGTGTTACATCTGATGAATCGCTTTAACTAATGCTGTTGTTCACTGTGGGTGGTGGAGATGCCAGCAGGGATAGAAATCAAAGTGCACTGACAGGCCTAAAACAAAGCTTGTGTAACTATAAAACTGTGCTTGAAGCAGCTAACAGGCAGTTTGTTTGGTCTGTTACACTTGTTGTTGGGAAATCCTTTCAATCATGTGTTAGTTCTCCTCTGATGAGTTGATTTTGCTCTTTATTTTTGAAGGAAATTTTGAAACTCATCCAGTCTCAACCCAGTAAATTCCTGGCCATTTGCCATCAAGTACCTGGTTTGGTCAAAAGGCATTTTCCGATTCAGTGATGCTTAAAGCACAGTTTGTCCATGAAATTCACAAACTCAGCTTTGGGCGTTACACTTAACCTTTACTTTTTATATTTGTGATGTTTTTAATAAAAAACGAGCCCTTATTATTATCTCCACTAAGGTTTGGTTTGGTTTGTTGGTTGGCTTGTTCACAGCATAACTCAAAAAGTAATGAATGGATGTGGATGAAACTTTTTAAAGAAGTGTAGGGTATGACCCACGGTACAATCCATTTGATTCTGGTGCTGATCTGGATCATCATCCAGATCCAGAAATTTGGAAAATGAGTCTTCACCATTATGAGATAGGGCCAGTTTCAGTATTTTTGCTTTGAACTCTGTACACAATGCCTCGAATGCTTGGACAAAGTTTCATGATAACATCCACATGAGATTTACTGCACACCAAAGTCTGATCTGGATCCAGGTAATATTCCAGATCTGGTGTTCACATTTCTAGGGCTCACAGAAAAAAACTTGCTACAACAAATAATGGTAGACACTTGCAACTAAGATGAAATAGTAGTGCTTTCTATTGTTTTAAATTGTTATATTTGTGTCTTCTCACGACCTCACACACCCACACACACGCACGCATTCCTTCAGCAATTCTCCGTTTCACTGTCAGTGGTGTGATAACAAGATCTGTAACAGACAAAATAGACTGGCCATCCTTTGGTTAAAGATTGCCCTTCTCCTCCTGTGAGAGTGCAGGCATGTCACAGCAAATTGTCACCCATCAGAGAGCAGCAACATCACACCCAGCTCAGATCCCCTCCTCTGCACCACTGTGCTGACCTCTCCCCTCCACGATATTAATCATTTATTTGTAGAAATACTGTGACTGCCACTCTTGTTTTAAATGTATAGTGACTTCAGTATTTATTTATACATCTCTCTTAAACTGCATGGACAGTAGAGGAGAAGAACTGGCACTGGGTCATACTCCCTCTGTCAGGAACATGAAGAGGCATGTGATTGGTGCAGTTATCCATCCCAGGGAGTAAATGTGTTATTCCAAGTCAGAGTGTCATTGTTCCTTTTTTCTGCAAAGAATCACAAGGGCTATTTATCGACCCATTCTCCCCTTCATTTAAATTATCTTAGCCCTAATTAATAGAGTGCCACTGAAGTGGAACCAGTAAGTGGAGTGCAGCCAGGTGTATAATCGCATCTCTGTCTTGTGTAAGTGCTGCCTCCTCTCTCACATGGATATGGATTGTCCTTTCCTCTGGTTTAAGTATGATGATAGACAGTAAGGTGCATCCTGCCAGGCTCTTAATATACTCATATACAGTATGTAATTGTTGTGTTGTGATTGGCTGTGCTGACGAGACACCTTTGCTCTGTGTTGCAGAACTGGGCTGGGATGCGTTGTCCGTACAAGCTGCTCCGCATGATCCTGGCACTAGTTTGCAGTAAGTTTTCCAGATTGACTGTCAGAGCCCTGCGCTCCTGTTCCTGCTGGTGAATTTATATTCTCATCGTTTAAACAGGAGTCAGTTTGACCTTTCATTTTACCGTATTTAATATCCACACAACTGTTCACAGTCCAGCATAATAGCAGTATTTTAAAACACATCTTAAAGCTGAGCAACAGACATGCTAACTAAGTTATTATAGTGAATAGCTCAGAGAGAAAGGATCCCTGATTGGACATGTTGCTTTGTTTTCAAAGATTTGAGTCATACTACTTGTCCTTTTTCACCACACGAGCTGCAGATACACTGTGACTTTCATTAGAGAGCAATATGTTCCCTCCATCTGTCCTGAGCCTGCCGCCCCCGAACCGATAGAGCAGCAAGTCTCTGCTGGAACATTAAATCTCTCCTCAGTGTTTTACAAACAGGGCATACAGCACTGAAAAATAAAAAGTGACACATTGTTTCTGTGAGCTACTGTGAAGAGTGAATTAACGTTTGCTCTTGTTTTATGTTATCAGTGTCAAGTATTTATTCAGCTAAAGAGACTTTGGGAGAGCAACAAGAAGCAACAGCAAATAACCTGAAACAAATTTTTAGAGTAAAGATCCATTTAAAACGTCTTGAGCTGCAGAAGCAGACCATGATAAACAATACAGCGGGCGTAACATCCAGCCTGGCTTTGTCCAAAGGCAACTGCTACCAGTAGTGCTAAACAAATGAGATATAATGTGGTAATTGGTAAGCTTAGAGGTGGGCTGTAGGCAGGGGTGGAAGGACAACTCAGATTCTTTACTCAAGTAAAAGCAGCAATACCACAGAGTAAATATACTCTGTTACAAGGAAACGTCCTGCATTCAGTGTACTTATTTCACATTGTTGTATATTATATTATTCAGTGATAATTACTAATGCTTTATTGTGTATATTTCACTTAATGTTGCAGCTGGTAAAGGTGGAGCTTATTTTAAGTACTGTATATGTATAAACACTGGAGTACTGTTGGGTGGCTTGTGAATTTTCCATCCAGGCATCAATAAAGTCTCATAATTATACTGTATTTAGATTCTAATAAACTAAAGTTATCAGATAAATGTAGTAGAGTAAAAAGTACACAATCTGCTTCTAAAGGGTAGTGAAGTCAAAGTATGAAGAAGCAGAAAATGAAAATACTCAAGTAAAGATTACAGATACCTCAGAATTGTACTTGAGTAAATAGTTACTTTCCACCTCTGACTGTAGCTGGGTTTTATGCTAAGCTGCTGCCTGTAGCTTCATAATTACAGTATAGACATGGGACTGTTGTCAGTATTCACATCTACCTCTTCACCAGAAAGCAAATAATCCTATTTCTCAAAATGTCAAACTATTCTTTTAAGCAGATTCCTTGTCTGGGCTGCCTTCCTCACAGCTCAAGTCATGAGCAGATAGTAAAGAGATTTCTCCACACTGGTTCTGTGTTTTCTGTTTTTCCCCCTCCACAGTGAGTTCAGAGGTGGGCCGTGCAGTCTGGCTCCGCTTCTCGCCACCGCTGCCCTCCTCAGGGCCCCAGCCCAGCTTCATGGCACACCTGTCGGGGGCTGTGGTCGGTATCAGCATGGGCCTGCTGATCCTACGCAGCTACGAGGAGAGTCTGCAGAAACAATGCTCCTGGTGGGTCATCATCTTCTCCTTCATCACTTTCCTCCTCTTCGCCATCTTCTGGAACATCTTTGCATATGAGCTCCTGGGGGTGCAGATCCCGCCTCCTCCCTGATAAAGGCCCCCACCCCCCACCCCAAGTCATATTCCACATACTCCAACCCTCTTCCGAACAAAGGTTTCCCCTTTGACCATTGTTAACTTTCCCATTTCCTCTCAAGTTAGACCCAAATGAAATGATGTATGAAATCATTCAAGCCTAAACTCGACCAAGAATTCTTTTTTACAGATACTTTGCAAATCAAAGAAATATATCTCTTTTATTAAAGAGGGATTACAGTAGCAACAAGTACAGGTGAAAGTTCCTCAGATCCATTTAGAGGAGCAATATATCTTTTTATATACATTGTCTCATCCGCATTACCAGCACTAACCTTCAGTGAGCATTTAGCCGTTGTGCTTTCTTTTCAGAGGCTTTTTGAAAAGCTTTTTTGAGTGCATCTTTCATACATGTAAAGACCTCAGATGAGAAGAATCTGAATTCATGACACGTGCCTCTGGTGAACAGGACTTAAATGGAAGAGAGGAGTAGGAGTGTGTGCTGCAGGAGAAATTTCCTCTTTCATAAAAAGACATCAGCAATGGCCCTAAAAAAACAGGAAGGTTTCAGACATTTGAATCTGTGCCACAAGTCAAAGCTGCGGGAGAAGGTTTAAAGAAGAATTTTGGGAACCACATGTTTGTTCCTAGGGGCAGAAAAACACAGAAGTACTAATGAAATTGATATGATATTTAAATTTCACATCCCTGCTCTAACTCACAGGGGTCATTGTGGCTTTTTGCAAAATTGCTGGCACACTAGGTGAAAAACAAAAGATTAACTAACAGAACATTTTCATCAAATTGAACTGCTTCAGCCCAACAAAAAGAAATCCAAATTCTTTGCCCCAAGCACAAACAGGTTAAATAAAAAGCCCTTCTCAGAGGAATAGAGGAAAACGTTTTAAATTTTATGTGGATCCTAACATCCTTAAGGTTAGAGGTGTCACTGTCATTTTCACTTCACGGGGTCTTTAACAGTTAGAGGACATTGGTTTTTTTTATATTATTTCCATGACATTGTACCTACACTGTGGATACAGAAACAAAGTTCACACAACGTAGACAACGTGGAGATGGGAAATCAAAGCTAGCGCGTGACTGAAGAAAGAACAAGAAGTTGTTCATGAGAAAATGACAGCTGAACTTTCTTGAGTAGTCTTTACTTCAACAAGTGAACAACTCCTGTTGCTAGGCACACCATGTAAAATATGTCATGTCATGCTCTGTGGCTCTCAGTGAGACGAGGAGACACACACACACACACACACACACACACACTTCTCCTCTTTGTCGTTGAGATCAGTCACTTCCTGATTCTGTCAGTCAACATGGACAAACCTAAGAGAAGAATGCTACACACACACACAGCCTCTGCCTGTTCTTGTGCTGACAGACTGAAATGGGGAGGGCGCGGATGTGTCATCACCTGACCTCTGACCTTCGTGTCCCACAGGGCATTGGGGTCTCTCTGTCAGGCCCAGTCAATACCTCAGTTTCTCATTCTTAGGGACTGTATACTTTTGTAAAGGAATGTACCTATAAAGAAAAAAAGTGTTATTAAGTCGTCCCAGTTTTTCATTTGATAGTGGATGTGTATATTGTATGTTCATAATCTAGAGCATATTTATTTGTATTTTTTCCTCTTTGAGAGGAAAAGAACAGTTTCAAATGGTGCAAAATTATTGCCATGATTGTTGTTTCTCTGATAACTCATGTATGGCTTTGAAGAAAAATAGTCTATGAGGCAAAATCCCCTGTTATGTTAGACGACGGCAGATGACTCAAGCTCACTTGATTTTATAAATCTTTAGGGCTTTACAAAATAAGCCATAGAAAGAGAGAAACAAAGAAGAGGGAAAAGGTGTTTGTTGTTTTGACACCTGATTGGTAGCTTCAGTCAAACTTTCTATTCTGATGTGATCAAACATCATTTCTTCATTGTGAATATTCAGCGGACGAGGTAAAAGAAGACAAACTGTGCAAGTACTCGCCTGTGAAACCCTGGACAGTCTGAGATATTTTCATGTAGCTGGACTCATTTTTTACAACTTGTTTTTCACCAACTACTTGTTTGTTGTCAATGCAGCTTAAATTTGCAAGTGCCCATATTTCTAAACTCTCCCCTGTGGTGTGTGTGTGCACGTTGCTGTTCTTGTTTTGCAAATAACAAATTATGGACAGGGCTTCTGCCATATATTATCTCCAGAGTGATTGAAGCATGTGGAAAGCTGAGGTGAGGATAGCAATTACACTGACTCATGCTATGTTCCATTTTTCAGTTGTTCAATCAATAACTCATTTGAATGTCCACTGGCTGCCTGGGAAAAAATATGGATTTGCCAATTTTGATAGCTGGTCATAAATACAGTCCTCAGCATTTGCTTCCACATGAAACTGTCAGTAACAGCTGAAGGCTTTGTGTTAAATGAGTGAATTGGTATGAAACAACCAGAATAAGCCATTTTCAGATTCATTAAAACCAGAAAAGATCAGCCAATACCTGGTAGTAATGTGTCCTCGAAGGAAAACATAGAGTATACAAGGAAATATTATTGCTTGGATTGGGAAAGATATGTTAATGAATAATGCATACATACCCTGTTAGCCTATAATGAAGATAAAGAGGATGCCTGAGAGGAGGTTAATGTGCCTCTTTAACTTAAGATTCATAGGAACCCAGCAGGGTTGTAAAAAGGGCTAGTAAATGGCTATTTTTTGTAGAACACAATAACTGTGAATATTACCCCTCCTGGAAGTACATGAAAAAATCGAAGGCTTGTGAATTGCTGTTGCCCCTACAACTGAGTTCTTCTCACACAAAGTGAAATGTTCAGTGTTTAATTTGTTGTTAACTCAGATCTCCTCAGACAATAGCATCAATGACAGAAGAGAAAATGAGCTGAGGGAAATGTTTTCAGGAGGAGTTTTATGACTTTTTTTGTAAGCCAAATCTCCTGGCCCTGAGCCTGAGCCAACCACAGCACCATCACACCTTTATTAAACAAACAAGTCCTCTAGTGTCTGATAAAAACCTGTCCTCCTCTCAGACAGCGGCTCATTTTAACGTAGAGGAGTGATGACTCTGGCTCTCATCCTCTGGCTGACAACATGTGACAGTTTTGGTTTGTGAAGGATGGAGAGACAGCAGTCTTCATAAAACCCACTTCCCTGTCCTGCCGTGCTCACATCACACAACACCCCCAGTGTCAGAATGATGCATGGCTGTTGCGTGAATACCACAAGAGCCCAAAGCTAGACCATAAGCAGGACATCTTCCTCTAATAAATGGATCTGACAGGCTGCATGATGTTAATTTAATGGCTGTCTTTGAATGACATATTTGTTTTCAGCAGTACAAGGAAGTCTTGGTGAGTGATGGCATGAGCCTATCAATAACATCACTTTGGGTAATGCACATCCTTCTCCCGAATGGTGGTCATCGTGACAGCAGTAGGAACTGATGTTTAAAGGTTAGTGCCAACTCTCAGCAGAACTGGTCAGTGATACATGAACCCTTGTTGAAGTGGCTACAGGAAATACTGTTCATTCCTTTGCTTGTCTTGTTCAAAAATGCAACATAGGTTTGTTTATAGCAGCATACCACCGTTCTGACTGCTGTTTCTGTAAGTGGGCTTTTTTGCACTTATAGTAACTGACATGTTGTCGTGTGCCATATTCTCTACTGTCGTCATCATTCCTTGATGCTTTTTTAACCTTCCAATGGTATGCCCAATGCCTTTTTATTGTATATAAACCCAAGACTGAGCACTGGGCAGAAAGGCTGCTTTGCTGTTAACTGTATGATTTCTTCTGCACAATCATGCACAGAGTCTGTACAAGAAGGAAGCTGTAGTGTAAACGACTATATATCCAGTAGCTGCTCTGAACTGCTGCTTGCCAACAGGCCAGCCAGGTTGCCTTTTCCTAGTGTTTGTGGATAATTGTCACTGCAGGACTGTGTTGTGTAGGTGACACAGGTGACTGTAGCTCCAGAGCTGGATCTGTATTTACAACAAAAATCAATGGATGCTTTACACTCTTATAATTTTAGTAAAGACACTTGAAATCTGAAATGCTGGTTTAGGGGTTCTTCAACTTATATAGAGTCATCAAATGCACAGACATTTGACTTTAGTCCCCAAATGATCCTGGATATTGATATGATATAATGTGTAAAACAGGGTCAGGTGTTGAATTTGTGTTAATTAGCCAGTAAAATTAAAACACTGGCAGGCACACAAAAGTTCACAAAACTGCATTGCAGATTAAATGTGCATCTGTGAACTCCAGTACTTGTGGATTTTCATAGTTCCCGTTTATCCATATTTTAATTTTCAGTGTTAAACTTTAGATGAATGGTTTCATGTGGATTAGTGAACAGTGGTTTCTGCCACAGCTAGAAACCAACATAAATAAGATTTGTTTTTCAGACTGCTAGAGCACAGATGTACAGATCCACTGATGGCAAACTGGAAAAAAATCTAATCAAAGATTGTGCTGTGTTTTTTTGTTTTTTTTTTGGCGATTGACTATTTTTTTTGGCATGTAACATTACCAAAGTTTTCATTTCCCAGTTTCTAGCTTTGGTACAGATTTTTTTCATGTTCACAAATACTGCCTGAGCCACTTGAGGTCATGTGACTTCTTAAAACACAAGTCGTCTCCCTGCAACAGTTTAGAATTAAAAAGTCATATCTGTGCTGCTGTGGTAGTTTTTCATGGGCTGCTTACATGTATTGATAAAATGGTGCCAAGCTTACAAGGTTCAGTCTCTTAGACCAGACAAGAGGTTGGACCAACACAGCGTTTACAAAAAGAATAAGCAGAAGAAGCTATTTTTCTCTCCGTCATGAGGAAACTAAATGAAAACTAAATTTGCATATGGATTATTTATATCAAATTCCTCATTAGTTATTTCACAATCTATTGTAGTTTTTAAATGTTCTGAATCGAACCATTTTATATTGTATATATATGAAAATATTTTGTTTTATTTTGTACTGTTCATTGTAATTTTCTTTAATTTAGAAACTATATAAATAAAGAACAATACCGTGGCAACATCTCACTGCTTTCTTTTCTTTTTAAGCACAATATCATTGTTGCTGATCTGTTATAATTCATCAAATAATTTTAACAAAATTTTTAAAATTAATGGTCTGCTACTCATGTAAAAATGTTGTGGTATTTTTATTTTTTTAATTGTAATCAATAATATTTTACCACAATTAATTAAGAAAATACTACATGAAAATATGTGTTGCAGCCCTGATCCCCTTGGATTTGGAGTCCAGGTGAAGAAAAAAAAAATTAAGCAGTTTGAACTACATGAAACCAAAACTAAACTTGTTAACTAGTGCAGCAAATATACTGTATGATTAGATCATTCTTAATGACATGTAAAAGCGAGTTCTACAACAAAACAACGCACACCAATCACCAAATGCTCATATAAAGGCTTTATTATTTTGGACAAATATTTTTAAAAGGCTCACAAACATTAAAGCAGCTGTAATGTAAAATGTACTGTACAATAGTGGTCATTTTTCATCTTGTTTTGAGTTTTTTTGTTGGTTTCCGGTCAATGTCAGAGTCTGAGCACTGAACACCACAGACATTCACATCGACATCCTTTAGGAGTGGGAGCTGCTGCTGTGTGGCTATGGTCAACGCCCACAGACACAGCTCCAGCCTGTGGGGCGTCCAGTCCTGCTGGGGATCCACTGAGCACAAGAGGGGAGGCCAGAGTATCAGTACACAATATCAAGGCAAGGCAAGTTTATTTGCTACAACACCTTTCAGCAAAAGCAGATTTAAGTGTAATCACTCACATGTCCATATCATTACCTCACCTTTGTTTAGTTTTTCAGTCTGTTTGACCATCTTGTCCAGGTACAAAGCATAGTGCCTGGCTGTGTACTGGATGGGCTTTAGTCCTGGTACACTCTCCATGGCTTCATCGGACATGAATGCAGTTTGCTCTGGAGCTCCTGCTGCCAACATAGCTGGAACAAAAGAGACAGTCAGCCCTAAGCCAAGTTGAATGTAGCCATGAAACGCATGCAAACTATTTAAACAGAGAGCGGGGAGTCCCATCAGCTCAGTCCACTGGTGTAGACTCTGTTTTGTGCATTTACTGAGAAGGCAGTCATTTTAGAGACATTTTATCAGGGTGAATTCTTAAGCTTTTATCAGTGAAAGCTGATTGAAAGCAGATTCAATACAGTGTCTTCAGAAACAGAGTAGAGAAGCTGTGCTAACCTGAAGCGGTGGCTGGGCCGACTCCTTTCATAGAGCTGAGCTCTGCGACTGCTGCCTGCACATCAGGCAGGAGGCTGAAGGCCTTTCTGGAACATTTCTCCACAGTGTCCTCACTGTTGGACGCCACCAGCTGCTGCAGCCTCGGCCTGAACTTCCCTCTCTGCAGGAAATGCACATAGGGCCACTCAAGAACACAGCTGATGCACTGAGTGCTGTATGACTGTTAGTGCCACTTCAAGGTTATACTACATGTCAAAAGAAGTATTTACTAGGGCAGCGTGAGAAAATCTTTTGTATAGGTAAAGTAAAGATTTTTGAGATTGTTATAATTTAGTGTCTAGACTCTATTTACAGTGAGCTTCCACTCCATCAGTTTCACCAGCTCGGACAGAGTGATGTGTTTGTCCTGTCGACTTGAAATTAATGCGGGCAGCTCCTCTTGATACCTGGCCACAGACATACATATCAGTCACCCAAAAGCAAGGCAGACTAAGCACAGTTCATACAATAGATTCCATATACAAGAAAACCTGAAACAATACAGCTACAGGAATAAGTGGATTCTCAGTTGGTGGTTGTTAAACTTCTGTTTCCTGTGAGTATACTGCACTGTATTTTTCAGACCCTAATATATCAAAATCAATTCTGTAACATAGGCTACTGGAAGACTGAGGTTAGATCATAACATGTTAGTGTAAGTCTATCTGTTATACAAATAAATTTAGTGTAACTTTGTAACTGTGAGGAAAAAGAATGATTACCACTTGTCAAGTTTCAGCAGTTTTCCATGTGTCTTGCCTTTGGCCTTGGCCTCCACTACATCCCAGTATTTCTCATACACACTCCTCCACGTAGCTGGCTCCTCACAGGCAAACAGAGTACTCATGGCAGCAGAGAGGGCGCACGCCATTACCTTCAAACAGAAAAAAACTACAAAACATTAACTGAATGCACTTCCACGTCCAATGTTGTGATGCTTTCTGTTATGAGCTGCGGAACTCCCGCGAGATGACCGAACAAACTACTACTTCCGGTACCTTGAGCATTGAGCAGGAGTTTCAGAAGGTCTGTTACCCGTAATACTTTATTTACTTTGCATACACACTTAATATGGTACACGTTAGTTATGTCTCTACGTGTCTGTAAACCTTATCTTGTGTTGTGTGCGTTTCCTCTTTGCAAAATTGCTTGGTAGCTAGGTTAGCGAGCTAGCGGCAAGTTAGCATCACGTTTCAGTCATGTTGATGGTGCAGCTACACTTTACAGAAGGATTACCTATGTGTAGCTAAGACACCAGCAAACAAGTGAACACGGCGAAGGAGCTACAGTTTAACCCCGTTTTGGAGTAAACTGAACCCTTACCAAAGCGCGAAATCAAGAGCGTAATGTAATGTAAGGTAGTTGAGGGTTAAAGTGCTCACCTCTCTCATTGGCTAATAGTGTTAACGCACAACTAATCTATCTTCAGGTGAACACCAAGCAGCCATTATCGATCCCCAGCATGAGGTAGAAGGTGATTAAAACAAACAAACCCCTCAGTCTAGCAGAATTTCAGAGTGAAATTCACTGGCAAAGCAGAAGTAAACAATCAGAATGGACAGCATCGAAAACTTACTACATCAAATAATACTTGGCTAAATAACATACCACAAAACTAAAATATTGATTTCAGCTAAATGCTTTCTAACCTGCATTGTTTGTTCTGTATTTCAGTTCTTTTTTTTTTTTTATCAATACAGTAACCAAAAATAGTTTGCAAGTTGTTGTAGGCTTGCATTCATGACAAGATCCTCAATTTATATGATTAATTGTGTGAAAGTTGCAGCAATAATTACGCTTCACGTTGTTGGTGGTGTAGGTATAAATAGTCATATCTTTATGATAAACAGTGCAAAACAGATAATTTGATACTTTCTCTTTTTCTGTTATATATAGAATATCTGTCCTAACTCTAAACCTAGATAGCATCATTGTTGCTCACATGCCATTCTCTCACTATCAGACTAGCAAGTTGGCTCTGATGGGAGCACATGTGGAGGAGGACTCTGTGCTGCTGCAGATACTGAAGAGAGTGTCAGTTCTTCACCACGTAAGCACGGCAGCTGTTTCATTGTCTGAGAAATGTTACAATAAATATAGTTCTATTCATTAATTAGTTTGTTACATACTGTCACCCCTCTTGCCACCAAACCCAAAGATTCTACATACAGGTGACAAATTAAACTAAAAACCTGAATAAATGAATGATCTCCTCCCGAATGACAGTGTCACCATCTGTAGGACATGAGAAGTCACTGAATGTTTTGATGAGTATGAAAATGGTGTGAATCATACACTGTAGCCTTCATAATCACCAGCTCTCAACCCAGTTGAACATCTATGAGATATTTTGGAGTGACCTGTTAGATTGTGTCTCCACCATTATCATCGAAACACCAAGTGAGGGAATATCCTTTGGAAGAATGGTGCTCATCCCTCCAGTAGATTCAAGATTTTTATTTGCCATTTATGCATAAACATACAGTCTAGGCATATAGGAATTCAGTAGAGTTCAGAAACTTGTACAATCAGTGCCTAGGAGTACTGATGCTGTTCTGGTGGCACATGGTGGCCCGACACCTTACTAAGATCTATTGTTGGGTTTTCTTTTCATTTGTCACCATTCTATATAAATCACACATTTTCTTTTGTTAGAGTGCCACTGCCTGGTGGATCGCTGAACTGCCTTAGAATCACACAACATTTTTGTCAGGTGCTTTTATTTTTTTATTTTTACAGCAGTCACTAGTGTAAAACCAACCACAGCCAGTCTGCTTGATGGAGCTTTGTCACTTCTGTTATCCTCCTGACCCACCCCCCCAAAAAATCACTCTTGTCTGCACCAGGAACATGGAGAAGATGTCACGGGTCACCACAGCACTCAGCAGCAATGCCATCAGTGGCCGAACTATGTTCTGCCACTTGGACGCTCCTGCCAATGCCATCAGTGTGTGTCGTGATGCCACGCAGGTAGTGGTAGCTGGTCGCAACATCTTCAAGATATATGCACTGGAGGAGGAGCAGTTTGTGGAGAAGCTTAATCTCCGCGTCGGTCGCAAACCCTCGCTCAACTTTAGCTGTGCGGATGTCATGTGGCACCAGATGGAGGAGAATCTGCTGGCTACAGCAGCCACCAATGGGGCGGTGGTCACCTGGAACCTGGGAAAACCCTCTCGTAACAAGCAGGACCAGCTGTTCACTGAGCACAAGCGCACTGTCAACAAGGTGTGCTTCCACCCCACAGAGGTTTACATGCTGCTAAGTGGCTCCCAGGATGGCTTCATGAAGTGCTTCGACCTGCGCAAAAAAGAGTCTGTCAGCACTTTCTCAGGTAGAGAATGCGATGATCAGATTGCAGTTATTCCCTCATGTTACATATAACGTCTGACTTCTTTTCATGAAAAAAAGAGTGCAGCAACATTCCCACCTTTACCAATTAAGAAGCAAACTTTATCACCAAGTCAGTTTTATTTATATGGCCTAAAATCACAATGTGTACAACAAATAACACCCTCCATCTTCAGACCACTATCTATCAGTGTTTATTTCTTGGGAGTAGAAAATTCTGTTCTATCGGTGGCTGTGCCAATTGTCAAAAATAAAGCTAAGCAGCTTTTTCCCTTTATAATAAAGTTTTCGTTTAAGTGAACAAGGAAATATCTACATTTCAGTTAATGTAATAAAGCCTTTCTCTTGCCACACTTCTTCAAATCACTAATAATATTTTGTTACTCTGTTGAACTTTCTTTTCCTCACCCTCCCTTCTAGGTCAGTCAGAAAGTGTAAGGGACGTCCAGTTCAGCATGAAGGATTATTTCACATTTGCCGCCTCGTTTGAGAATGGCAACGTCCAGCTGTGGGACATCCGGCGGCCGGACCGTTACGAGCGAATGTTCACTGCCCACACCGGTCCTGTGTTCTGCTGCGACTGGCATCCTGATGACAGGTGAGAAAAACTGATTTTGTGATACAAATTAAGTAAGAAATTTAGGCTTTTGCTCTGTAAAGCTGTTTTGGATTATTCTGTACATCACTTGCAGTTTTGGAAATATATTTTAATTTTCAGGGATATCAGGCATGAATTTGTCCACGTCTGGTTTATTACAGCTGTCGCTTGTTAATGGATTTTCACCCTTGTTACTGTTTTAGGGGGTGGCTGGCCACAGGAGGCAGGGACAAGATGGTGAAGGTGTGGGACATGACCACTAACCGGCCCAAGGAGATCTACTGTGTCCAGACAATTGCCTCAGTGGCACGGATCAAGTGGCGACCGGAGAGGAAATTTCATTTGGCCACTTGTTCCATGATGGTAGACCACAACATCTATGTATGGGACGTCCGCAGACCTTTCATTCCTTTTGCCACCTTTGAGGAACACAAGGATGTGACCACTGGTATTGTGTGGCGCCACCAGCACGACCCACATTTTCTGCTTTCTGGCTCCAAGGACAGCACACTCTACCAACATATGTTCAAGGATGCTACTCGGCCCGTCGACAAGGCCAACCCTGAGGGTCTGTGCTTTGGCCTCTTGGGTGACTTGGCCTTTGCAGCCAAAGAGAGTCTGATCAGCAGTGACGTCAACAGAAAGCCTTACCCTGGAGGTGACCGTCGTTACCCCATCTTTTTCTTCAAGAAGCCTGACCCGACAGAACAGTTTGCCCATGTATCCAGTGCTCTCAGCGTCTTTGAGACAGACTTGAACAGTAACCACATGGACTGGTTTGTCAAGACAGCACAGCTCTACCTCCTCAGCGGGAAGCCGTTCGCTGAGCTGTGTGATCACAATGCCAAGGTGGCCCAGGAGCTCAAACGACCTCAGGTCAGACAGATCAGTGCAACAAATCTGTGCAATGTGTTTGTTGTTTTTAACAATTAACTACAGTGATGTGTTTTTTAAAAAGTGTGAATTAATTTACAGAGTAAGTAATCGCTTTATCATTTTGCCTAAAAATGGGTTAGGGCTGCTCACATTAAGAGGGTTAAAGGATAAGGCCAGTGATTTTCTGTTTTTGTTCTTTTCAAAAACATCCCAAATAGACTAAAACCAGAACATGGTTTAGATTTTTTTGTGTGTTTGCTGTGGACCTCTATTGTTGTCCAGAAACTTTTAAAAACACAGCAGTGAACCACACCACTGCACTAGGTGACATGTTTCTTCTGGCCCATGTGTGTTCACATAGATTCACAAATGTTTCAGCACACAAAATTCATTGTTGGTGTTAGTCTCTGAATGGACTGTTTTGAAAATAACAACAACAACAACAAAAAAGAAAATCACTGGCTTTATCTTTCCATAAACTTGTGGACTTGATTCGCCTACAGTATCAGCAGTGGTGCAGTAACGCAGACTCTGAAGGTTTTATTGAAAAGATAGAGCCTGGAGTATTTGACTCATATTCAGCTTTTGTTAGCTCATTCACAAACGTATTACTTGTGATGCTTGCAGTGTGATTTATAGGCAAGACATTAGATGGAATCTGTTTTATTAGCAGATCATAACTAACACAAAGTAACAACCTATTAGATTTATAACTAACATGACACTGAAATTATGGCCATATTCTACTTCAGGAAAAAAAAATACCCCACATTCAGTGGTAGTAGTGTTTGCTATGAATAACCCAGCTTTTTCCTTTGATACAAAGGTTTCCACAACATGGACCATGCTGAGAATCATGTTCTCTGACCCAGCAAACCTCACAGCAACTGGTCCAAACCACAACCTCAGTAGTAAACTGGGCACATTGCCTTTAATGAACAGGTCAATGAGCTTTTTATTACACCTTTACCACACAGTTTACCATTTACCACCTAACATTTAATACTGGTGAATGTATGCTTTTAGTTTCAGTATGAAGGAAATGGGAACAGAGAGCAGACTGGAGCGTAGTAAAGGCGAGAGCAGGCCGGACAACACCCACCTGGAGCCTGGGACCTCACACATCAGCAATAATAATGAAGGTGAGTGCTCATTAAAACTCTTAGAAGCTAAACTGGATGTTTATACTTTCCTATGGTTGTTTGAAATTCATTCATTTTCTCGCTCTGCAGAAAATGAGGAGACTGAAGGCAGTGAGGGTCAGGCTGAGTACATGTTCGGTGACGCCGAGCTAGATGATGATGAACTCTATTCTATGGAGCATGACAACCAAACAGGTCGCTGACAGTTGCATCCCTAAGGAAACTAAAGACTTGCCTACATCAGTACCTGCTATTTATAACTGCCTCCACACTCAGTGCTCTTATCTAATACTGTATTATCTCTGCTACCTTTGTCATAAAAGAAGAGCAGGAGTACACGCTGCCCCAGGAGGCCTTCCAGCTGCGCCACGAGATCATGGATAAACCATCTGCTCCAGAGCACCTTCCGCAGGACCAGGCCGAATCGGCACGAGGCAGAAGTCACTTGTCTGACACCCATTGAGTCCTTTTCTCTCATCTCCATTTCCCAACCACTGTACAGCCCCCACCTGCCCGGGAGCTTTTTCTGTCCCATTGCGCGGGAGATGCTGAGCTACTACGCAGAGCAGGGCGATGTGCAGATGGCTGTGTCTGTGCTTATCGTCCTGGGGGAACGGATTCGTAAAGAGATCGATGACCTCACTCAGGTCAGCTGGAAATAACAAACACTGGCTTGCTTACTGCTGCAGCGTTTGCATTTGAATCTCTTCATGGACTACAATTTAACTGTTAGCAGAGGCAGTAATTAAAAGTAATTAAAAGTTTGTTAGGCACAGAAAATGCTTATTTTGGTCAAAAGAATGACTTAATGACTTCATGGTGATTGTAAATACAAGTTAGGATGGTTTCCTGAACAAATCTCCAGCATTTTAAGGTCAAATGTAACTTTATTGACTGTCATTCATGTGGATGCAGAGTTCCAGGATACTTTAGGCCGTTCATTACTAACACAATCTTAAAATTCAGTTACGAAGTTTCAGGTTGGAAGACAGGAAACCTTGAACGTATTGTTTTCATTTCAGGAGCACTGGTACATGTCCTACATAGACCTACTGCAGCGATTCGAGTTGTGGAACGTGTCCAATGAGGTCATCAAGCTGAGTACGTGCAGCGCCATCACCTGCCTGAACCAGGCGTCCACAACACTCCACATCAACTGCAGCAACTGCAAGCGGCCAATGAGCAACAAGGGATGGATATGTGACAGGTATGAAGGCTGCACTCCTATTTATTTTTGGAGGGTTTTGTACATGTAGACAATTGTCAGTCTGTAATACTTTTATATAATTACCACAAGAGGGTCTATCCCACAGTTAAAATGAAGACCATATTTCATTTAAGTGAAATATAAAGTATTTTGTACTTGTCTAGTGTTCTTAAATGCTTTCTTCAACATACCCAAATTTGTTTATATTAATATATGCAGCAATCTCAACAGTAGTTCAGTTTTTGGGATAAATTAAACTCTTATTTGCTTTGTTGCAAAGAGTTAGATAAGTAGATTCTATTACTCTCAAGTATGTATGCTAAATATAAAGTTGCCACCAGTGGCCAGCTAACTTAAACAGTACGACAGTAAACAGGTGAGAACATTTAGCCGGGCTCTGTCCAAAGGTAAAAATAAATCAGAGAACCTAGTTGCAGACAAGACGGCAGACTGATGGCCCCGGCAGGAGGTTGGCAAAATTAGCCTGAAGTTGTTCACCACTCCAGGTTTATGGTTGGGGTTAAGGTTAGAGGTTAATCCTAACTTTTTTTTTTTTTTTCTTATAGAAAAATGGAATAACATTTTGGTTGACCTTGTCTGCAGCCTTGTGTAATTCATACAATACTTCTTCAGTTCTGACAAGTGCCCTGTGTCTCTCCTCCAGGTGCCACCAGTGTGCCAGTGTATGTGCAGTGTGCCACCATGTGGTGAAGGGACTGTTTGTCTGGTGTCAGGGATGCAGCCATGGGGGACATTTGGAGCACATTATGAACTGGCTCAAGAGCAGCGCGCACTGCCCGGCCGGCTGCGGTCACCTGTGTGAGTACACCTGAACCCATCACAACCACTGCTCACCCTCCTGGTCCTCTGTGGAAGCGCAAATCAGATCTCATCACAGACAAACGAGATGTCTGCATCCCTCCACACGGGCCCAGTCAGATTAGTTGAAGGTTGGATCTACTGAACCTGAAGGACAAAAAGGTTTCTATGTGCTGTCCTGCACAGCCAGCCATGAGCAAACACAATCACATTTAAGTTTGTATTTGAATTGGTTTTTGAACCATTGGTGAATTTGTATTTAAGCAGATGTTACAATAGATATTAAAAACGTTAACAATATTTTGGTGAACTCACATTTGCTACATTTTACAGTTTTTAAACCTCCATAAAACCCTGAAGGCTGCAGTGACATGTTAATGTGCATTATGTTTAAAACTTGCAGTATTTTGAAGAACTGTAGATAAAGTTGAATTTATTTGAGAAATAGCAATACATTAAAGCAATACATAAATTAATAGAGCTGTCCTGTACATTCACCAGAGAAATCCTCTCTCCCTTGCAGTGTTCACGTCATTCGCGCGTATACTGAATGTGACTGTATCCAGGTTACTTGAATTTGCACCGAGCATCACATTCTAAAAGTGTATCTTCGTGAGAGCAAAGAAGTGCAGTTGTTTTTTCCCCAACCACACTTTTCTCTTGTGGACCCAGAAGTGTTTCGACAAATGTCAGCCCGCCAACATCTGTAACTTCTAGTCTAGCAGCTGGACAGTGTGCGCTGCTTAGAGTAACATTTGCTTTCTAGTCATAATCTGTCATTCTCACCACCGGTGCAATACACAACAGATTAAGCGCAGAAGGCCACAAACGCCTTATGTCCAGATAAACCTCAACAGAACAGCTTCGTTGTGGGTGAAGTGCTTGTTGTTATAAGAGGAATCTGTTACTGTATAGCCTGATGGTGACTACATGGATGATTTTACAACTGAGTTGACAGTTTCATGGGCAGAGTTTCATGAGATGAGTGACAATCAGTCTCTTAACACATTAATTTGGGCACATATACAGATTGGATGCTGCTCAGCATCACAAGTGTTAGTCTTCCACTCGTGTTAGATTTTAAATGTGTAAATCAGCCGCAGAGTGTCACTACAGATTGGCAGTCCTCTGCTTACTTAGCTTCTGTACTGAAAACTACTTAGTTTTAGTGATTTTATAAGCATTCTGGTCAGAACAGTTGATTTACAAACTGGGAGGAGTCTGTGCTCATTTAAAAACCTGCATGCCAGAGCCTGCTGTATTTGGATCAGCTGCTAAAGCCAACGGATATATTGTGCCAAGGTTGTTACTGAGCAGCACCTGTCATCACATCGATTTACCGCCAAGGCCCTGGGCACATCAGAGTATTTTCAAATCCACTCCACATGAGGAGGGGAATCCCTGACCCCCAAGGCTCAGTCTGCACAGAACTGTCTTATAGTATTAGCAGACCTGATATTGATCTGAGCCACCTGATTAGCTCTAACATCTGGACAGGCCCTGTTGTGTCTGGAAATCACATTTATTAAGTCAAAGTAACTGTGACTTAATGTGTTATACACCGATCAGGCACAACATTATGACCACCAGTACATATAAATTCTGTTCTTGATCATTCAAATACTTGATTCTGTCTATTTTTGACTTGGATTGATTTTTTACTTGGAATTTATTTATCAGGATGTGTGTGCCGTGCTTGTTTCTCATGGTGTTTTGCTGTTTGAGTAGTGAAATTTGTTTATCAAGATGTGTGTGTGGTGTTTGTTTCTCATGGTGTTATGTTTGTTCTTCATTGCTGCTGAAACACTGAAATTTCCCCATTGAGGGATCAATAAAGTACCTACCTACCTGTCTGCACTTCAGTGCAACACTTGTTCCTTAACATTTGTTTATGAAGCTCAAAATGTTTCAGTTTTTGGTGAGATTGCCATAAATGTATAGATTCAATAACATGTTGATTATTGAGGTCATAGTTAAAAGTGGTGTTGTACTGGACTACGTTATATTCAGAGGTGTATATTTTTGTCCTGCCCATCGACGCTCACGAGAGGGTCAGAACATTAGGAACACCTCTGACTATAACAGTCCAGTACAACACCACTTTTAACTATGACCTCAATAATCAACATGTTATTGAATCTATACATTTATGGCAATCTCACCAGAAACTGAAACATTTTGAGCTTCATAAACACAGATGTTAAGGCACAAGTGTTGGATTGAAGCGCAGACAGATGTACAGGTGGTCATAATGTTGTGCCTGATCAGTGTATAATCAGATGACATGTAGCTGATGTATTTCTCACACAATCACATTTGACTAAAAATATCAAGCTATGAAAAATTTGTAAAATATTGAAACAGATCATGTTAAAGAGGTTCCACAGTAAATCTGCTAGATGATAACCATCCTCTGGATTACCTGAGTAAACTGTCAGGTACTTGCCCTTTGGAAAAGAATACCAAACTGCGATTTTGTTCTAAAAATATTTGGCCAGCTTTTATTCATTCATTACTCGTACAAGAATTAATGGATCAAAAGATCGTCCCTGATGTAACGTAATGTATTGCTGTATATGACTGATGGCTTTGACAGGCATTTCTTGTCCAAGATTATAATCCCTTCAAAATTCACTCAGCAGGACATTACTTTCAAGCAGCATACAAATAAGATTTCATTCAAATGATAAGGTATCATTCTGAAGAAGTAAACGGACTGCAAATCTACTACTTAAATTTATCTCCTCATCTGGTGGTGTGAACAATTTAAACCGCATTTCCTTTAAGAAATTAGTAGACTTTTTTATAGAAACACTTCACAGTACCTGTGATCCACACTCAGTCCCTCCCCTGCTCTGTGCATTTGCGTCACCCAACGACAGGAGTCCAGTATACACCAGCACAAGCAAGTGAGGGTCAGGCACCCTTCTTGCCTGCTTGTCGATTCCCTGTAGACGCAGCTGTTGCCTTTGGACTTGTCCAGATCTGGCAAGCTCTGGTCCATCAGCCAATCCCAGAGGAACAACACGTCAGCTGTTTTGCTCTCTGAGCTACTCTGGTCCAGCAGGGCTGGCCTTGTCTTTGGCCTTCTCCCATTTTTCAATGAGTTTGTTCAGGGTGGTCAGATCACCCTCCGTCGAAAACTGGCAAAAGCCCCTTCAGAAGACAGGAAAAACAAGTTGTTTTAGGTGGATGAACTGTTCGAAGCACCCGTTACGTCTCTCCAGTAAAGACTCACCTGTAAAGGTTAAGACCGTTCCCAGCTATCAGAGACTTTCTCAGGAGCACTCAGATGCCTCAAACTCTGAAGCACAGTTTGCAGATTCCCTGCTGTTATGATGAAACAACCAGACACCAGCATTAGTATTAGATTTCACTGAGGTCACAAAACCATTTTAATCACTGCACAATACACCATCTTACCCAGTTCTTCTTCATAGGAATCCAGCTTCTTCATTAGGGATACAACACAGGAGTGGGTCAGGCCCTGCCCAGCTACAAGGACACACAGTCTTTTTCTTTGGTTTTATCATAAAACATAAAAGGTGTTATCCAGCACAGCACAAGCTTACCTTTAACACCAGTGTCACCTATTGTTTTATCTTGCCCGCAAATACAAGGGCTCCCGTTTCCATCAGCAGAGAGACAGGAGAGCAGTTCAGCACGACAGGTTCTGGCCTTTGTCAGTGTGACATTCATGTCCTGGGCCAGCCGGTGGTTTTCCACCAGCTCAGCTTGGACCCTCCTCCATGCCATCTTGTCCTCCATCAAACATCCCTCCATCACAGTACGCAGCTCCTTCTCCTGAGACACCTGGCTCTGCAGGCTCTCCATCTCCTCACAGTGCTGCAACAGGGAGAATTAATTAGATGTGAGTAAATGGTTTTCAGTTAAGTCAAGACCAGAAATGCCACGTCACAGTTGTATACCTCTGCATACCAGTCAAGTTACAGTTGACATGCATGTCTGTCCAGACTCGTATGTAAGACTTTAAAGGAATATAATATAAGCTATTTTCAGCAAAACGGAAACTATCACCATATTTACATATAGTATATAGTGATTAATTTCCAGCGAGAACCCTGCTGCCTTCACGTAGAGGCTATTTTTACAGAGTGAAGAGAACTGATAGAGAGCCTGGTCACATTGTCCTTAAATCCAAGTGGATGTCTGTGCCGAATTTAAAGAAATCCATTCAAAGTGTTCCTAAAATATGGTGTTCACAGGAATGGAACGGACAACCTAAAAACATAATGCCTCTGGCCACAGCTGTCACCAGCTGAGGCATAAAGCTTGATTTATGGTTGTGCCTTGAATCTATATCATAGGTACAATGTAGGTAATGCATAGCCTTGTATCCTACACTGTAGCCTGAGGTGCACCTGTCCATAAATGCAACTACATGTCGTGGAGACACAGACTGCAACAGCTGTGATTGATTACATCGCGTTTCCTCGTTCAGGTGATTCAGTAGCCAAACAAGCACAAGTCCTTCCCTCAGTTTCAGTCACTATTGTAAGTAAGTGAGGAAGAAACACGACACTGTGGCATAGAGATGCCACCGCCAACTTTTCTTTTGGTGGTGTAATTGCAGAGCAGCACACATGGATAAATGCTCACAACTTAGGCTCAGTATATTCAATGCAGAAGCATAACTCAAGACTAAAAAGTCACAAATGTAAAGTATACAGTATATATTTGTTTTGTAGTTACCTTGTGCAGCTGAATGGCCATCTCTTGCATCTCAGCCTCCAGCTGGTCTGCATACGCTTGTTCCAGAGCATCGCTGGGTGGTCGAGCACTGCTGTGCCACCTTGCAATAGCTGAGGTCATCTTACGCTTGGGCCCAAACAATCTGGAAAAACAATTAAAGGTATTTTTTCCTTGCCATAAGAAAAATACAAACACTGTGAAAGAGGGGCCTGAAGTCGCTTACGTGATTCCTATTTCTTTGAGATCATTTTCAGTCAGGGTAAGAAATATGCGCAGGTCAATGTCTTGCTCTTCAAGTAACGGGAGATACTTAGAGAAGCCAATTTGCTCCAAGAACTCTGCCAGATCCTGCAGGAGTAAGAGATTTAAGGTCCAGTCAAGAACCAAAAACAGTCCTGAATAAACTGGTCATGAGCCACACACCATTAGTCCACCACTACTAGTCAATTAAAAAGTGTACAACCACAGACGTGCCTTTGGACCAGTGTAGGAGGGCGGAAGAACAGCAGGTGAGCGTATCCCACAGTTGCCTGTACCACTGGACTGAGCTGCATCATTGCTTCCATGACGACTCTTTCCTTTTGAGTGGTGACTCTTATTCACTCTGCGAGAGCTGCTCTTTTTGCCCTGGTCGGAGTCCTGGTTGACAGAGGTATGTATGCCTGTTACTGCATGTCAAAAAAATCTGGTGTTTGTCTCCAAAATGCTGGAATTTCTCTGCTTGTGTGTTCACCTCATTACTCTCCACAGAACCTTCCCAATTGAGACCAATGACATGAGGCAGGCCTTCACTGCTGCTACTGCTCCTCCTCATAGTGGGCATGTCATTCTCAAAGAATGGACTGTCATCTGTGGTGATATAAAAAAAAATTTTAACTGCTTTGGCAGACGGCCAGGACAGCTGATGTCAAAAGATATTACTTTAATCAGTGACAATAAAACTGCAGTATTTCTAATGGTGCATGGCTTCCAAAGACGTTTTTTGATTTCAGTTATGTATATCAGATGTGACAAGACTGGTGATTGTGTGCCTCACCTCTGCTGCTGTTGCTTTGGCCATCCAGCTCATTGATAGGTGAGGTAACATCACGGCAGCAGATGCCATCATTCTGTTCACCAATATCATGAAACGCTGTGTAGCCTGGCAGCACGGCAGGAGGCTCTGTGAGCAGAAGAGCGACATTAATTACCAGCTGTCCTACCCACGACTGTCTGTCAGTTTTCTGTGACACTGACATTCTCTCATAATGTCTGATGAAATCTCAATATACAGACTCTCTTGAGCATTCAAGGAAAAACTATCCACAAAGTGTAGTAGTATGTCAGTCAACCTGTATCATACACAGCTTGTTTTCCTGTTTTTAGCTAATGTGTAATTTGACTTAACAACTAGCCACCCTCTTCAGTTGACCAGTATGAACATAGGTTGGTAGATTAGAGACTGGATTCCTATGTGACACTACCATACAGTTTGCTGGTGCCTCCTACTCGGAACTTGGCGACTGCCTGAGGCCCGTCATGGATGCTAATGCCTTTAGCTCGGTTTCGACTTGGCCTTATCTGCGGCGGGGCACTGTCCGAATCCTCAGAGGAGCTCAGGTCTTCAAAGCGTCCTAATGAAAAGGATCATGCACGCATCAATCAAGACAATAAAATACATAGAAGGGATAACAATCTATGTTTTTATCCTAAAGAGAAAAGTTAAACCCCTCATTTAGTTGAACTCCTGAACTACCTGATTTGATCCTTGGAGAACGCGAGTCAATGAGGCTGACAATCTTGGTATAGCCGTACATCATTGCTAGAGCACGGGCAGTCTCGCCTTTAGCATTACGGTCATCTGCTTTAACTTTCTGTAAATGGTCAAAACAAAACTGATATCAGGATCAAAAGGCATGACCTCTGTGTGAGTAGGACAATGAGCTGTTTCTTAAAGGTATAGTTGGAGATTCTAATTCATTACATATTGTCATATTCATCTAAATTTTCCTCACATTCCTCTGCCTGGCCTTTCAGTTTGTGTGCTCCACAAACCCCAGGTGGCTGTGTGCTGTGCTTGCTCTGTAATTCACAATATTACTGCATCCAAAATGGACAGATGGTTAAAAAAGTACCAGCTCCACCACCTCCATTTACAGCCTACACTAGTACACAACTAAGGAGGAGAAAGACAAAAGCACAAAAAAACTGAAAAAGGACTATAATTAGGCAAGGTTGGAAACCCATGTAAAGAGCTGTGGGATTTAAAAGAGATGAGGATGGACACAAGTAGCTAGACAGGTGGGTAAATTGTTTACTATGTGCCACTGAAAATTGTTAAAGTCAATATGAAGTTGTTCAATTAGGTAGGCTGATCCTTGTGGAAACATTACATCAGCAAGTTAAGCATTACCTGTGTCACGTTAGCTTGTTTGCTAAATCAACTTCTCCTGACACATTCTGCTAAATTTCTAGTTTGCAAATGTATGTGGTTATTCTGACTTCAGCTGTAGAAGCTGGAGACTGTTCAGAGAGAATAACAGTGGATTCTTTAGCTGGTCAGAGACATTTCGTGCCCCAGTCACGTATTCTGACAGTAATGCTCATTCATGAATTTTGAGGGACGTAGTTAGGAAATCTTAAATGAAACTATTTGTGTACATGGTGATCAAAATGTAAACATTCGTTGGCTAGAATTGCTGACTATACATTTAAGGTCATTGTCAACAACCATCATTAGTGGTGTACAAATTTCCTAATGCTGCTGCTCTGGCTTTGACAAAACACCAGAGAGTTTGTTTGTGGACAATGATATACTCACATGATCGAGCAGGTATTGAACTATGATTTCATGTCCAGAAGCAGCAGCTTCCATCAGGGGAGTGAAACCAGACCCTGGCTCCCTGTGGATGAAAGAAAAAGTCATGAAAAATGTGTCTGAATAGAATGTCACAGTATTTTTCAGACAGCTGAAGATACTCACTTGACATTGGCATCAGCGTTGTTATCCAATAAGAACCTGACCATCTGCTGATGGCCTGTGCTGGTGCAATGGAACAGAGCTGTCCAGCCTCGAGAGTCCTTCAACTCCAACTCAGCGCCTTGCTTTTATGAAAAGCAAATAACATGTCATACTCTCAATAAAAATGCATTAGAATATAGAACTGTGCACTTCCAATCAAAGGTTGGGACACACTATCCCACTGAACTGAAAGGGAAAGTGTATCCAAAATTTTGACTGGTAGTGTAAAACTATAATCAAGAAAATAACAATCAACATAAACAACACTGTATGAGTTTGAACTAATATGTTCATTGGCCCTGATGGTATCATCATTACCAGCAAGTGGCCTCCACTTACAAGATGCTAGACAATCTAGCTCCATGTTGTTGATTTTGTAACATGGTTGAAATCCTTGTCAGTAAATTGTAGGATGGTTCAACATCTGTTTTGGGAGTAAGCAGACCAAAACAGCAAACGTTTCCACTAAAAGACACTGATGGTACAAATGTCTGCTTATACTTTGCCTTCTGGGTTTGCTTTTCCTACAACACAGTTAATAGATGCAATGCTGCTTAGAACCAAACAAACAAACACTGATTTCTTTTGTTCTGTCACGTAAAGTGAGCACATTTTGCATTAAAAAATAAGACGTCATTGAATTACTCAACACCAGACTTGGTAGAATTTCTATGCAGGTGAACTGTTACTGTTGGACAGACTCATTATGTACCTGAAGCAGAGAGTATGCAATGCTTTCATTTCCACAGCTCGCTGTCAACATCAGTGGGGTTAGTCCTTTCGGAGTGGTAGCATTTACATTCACACCGGCCTCTAGCAGGAGATTTGCAATGTTGTCATGGCCGATGTACGATGCATACATCAGTGGGGTCCATCCTCCAATGTTCTGGCCATCCAGGTTCACCTCACGTCTGCAGACAAATAAGATCAGACATACAATGTTTATGAAGACAAGCTAGGCATCTAGGGTTAGTACACATTTTAGGCACCCACTTTTTGATGCACTCTGCCACCACATCGTACTGGCCGATGGAGCAGGCGGTGTGGATATCCAGGGGGACGTCCAGCTCCTCCACCAGAGAGTCGCCCAGCCACAAGGAGAGGCTGGCACCCAGCTGCTCTGATTCACTGGCCTCGTCACTTAATTCAGACATTTTCTACCTCTTTTCTTGTCCGTCCACACACCTGAAACCAGAGGCGGACACGAAACTGAGTCCCACCATAAAATGTTTACGTGCATAAATCCCCGGATTCAAGCTTTAAAAGCACTCTGCCTCAATATCACACAGTAAGAGTCGCTAAATGTTGATTATTACTTATTAATAAACATACAGTACTAACACTAGCTTCTGACAAACGGTTACATTAAGGCTAATGTTACTTTACTAGCTAACACAACTTTGCACTTATAGCTACTTTGTTAGCTTAGCAAGATAACGTAAACCCCTGAAGAAACACTTCCCTATCACATATCTACACAATGAGCAAACACGTAAACTAGCAAAAACAAACGACCTAAACAAACTAATAATTCACACTGCAGTTAAATGTCATAAGCTCAAAACATACTAGCAACAGCTAATTGTTGTTTTCTCGGCAGCTGAAACTTTTTTGTCACACTCAATTGTGCTCGTGTAGAACCATGCCCCGCCCTTTCCTGTATGAAAAATACTGCCGAACATGTTCAACTGCACCTACACTAAGGCTAAGCTATAGTCACAATGCTTTATCTCATCTTAAATAAAACAGTGCAAATAAAAATACAAAGTCATTTATTTTCAGAAATATGGTACAAGCAGTGATCACTTTTGGGTCTTCGATATTAGCACTGTGATTTTAACAGCTTTTGTCCCAGTATCTCCACTTCAACCAAAGTTTTGTGTGATTTTTGTTGTTTGATGACCAGCACACAGATCAGACTAGGTCAGATCAGGCACAGTGCATCATATTATGTTCAGCATTAATGTCAGAGAAAATTGAAGCGAAACAACTCCTCTGATTGAGTGAAGGCAAATGCTGTGGTCTCCTCCTGAGTCTGTGCTGTCAGGTCTGTAACCTGGGTTCCAGTTTGCTGAAGGGTCTCCTCTGTGGTTGGGATCTGGGTCTTGACTTCAGCTCTCCGGTGGAAAACAGACTTCTTTGGAGAATCTGACACAGCTTTGACTTGAGCTGATGCAATTTCTGTTGCAAACAGAGAAACCTGTCATTTGACACAATTCCACGCTAGACATTTTTACATTTGAGCAATAACTACTGTTCAAATGCATGGTTCATTTCCTCACCACTCTGAATGAGTTTGAACTGCTTGCTCTTCTCTTCTTCCATTTTTTTCCTGTAGTCTCCAGTCATGGCTCTCATCACCTGCCTTTTCTTAGCCAAAGGAGCTTTGGAACTACGTAGAGTCTTCAGTGCACAATATGCCTCTGCCTCTACAGGAAGAAAATATGTACGGTGTCACAGCTCAATGCAGTTCAGTATCTGTCACATTTAATATGGCTCTATCACACCAAAAGCCCACTTACACCTGGCTTTAACATGTGTGCTATATCCAGACACACTACACATTTACCTCTCTGTGTATAGGAATCATTTTAGTGCCAGATGTAAACAGGTTAGATGATGTGTAAGGTGAAGTTCATACTCTGTTTAGGTGTGCCCTTCTTGGACCTCATTCCCAGCTCCAGCTGCTCAATGCACCAGTCCAGCTGTCTGTTCAGCTGCTCTTCTGCACTCTGAAAGACAGTTGTGTGTGGATATCAAATCGAAACCCACCATGATTATTTTAAGAGAAAACATTTAACACTGACCAGCTCTGTGACATCATCTCCTTGACTCCCCTCAGCTGGTTGCTGCTGTGGCTCACTGCTACCTGAGGGTTCTGTCTTTCCAGGTTTCTTCTTCTTTTTCTTTGCTTTGGACTGCACTGACTGTTCAGGTGGAGGGTTAACCTCCTGCGGTGGGGAAAGTTTTTCCTCTTGGATGCACTGTTGGCTGCCTGGTGAAGAGGTGTCTGGGGTCTCTGTCTCTGTCTTCATGTCTTCTACAGGAGGGATTTGAAAGTTGAATGCAAAAGCAGAAGTCTGTCCAGTAAAATGTATTAGACTTGTTGTTGGCTCAGTCCTGTCTGATGGAGAGGTTTTCTCCTGACGTGCAGGAAAGTTGTCAGGGAAGAAGTTGAATCTGAAGGTGTTGTCACTGTGAGTCCAGGGGGGCTTCTCAGCTCTGCCTTGAGCAGGAGTGGAGCTGTTTGATTTGGACTCGATATCTGTTGAATGAGCATACACACAAATTATGATAACTTACTTCTGAAGGCACTGCATTATCTGCCTCAAGAGTTACTTTATTGTAACAAATGCAGACAACCATGTAACTGTGACAGTTAAGTTCAATAATTAATCAAGTTAATCGGTTAACTAAAACTGGGGGCCGTTCTAGACAAAACGTCGCACTCGAAAGATTTAACTCCACATTTTGCCTCCAAATGTACGTATTATAGAGTATACACGTGCATGCAGCAAAGCTCGCAGAAAATATGTTTAGCCTATGATGTGAAAGACGTAATTAAATTATAATGCAGGGTACCTATAAACAACAGTTTTTGTTCGGCCATGCTGATTCTCCCGGTGATGCAGGTTTTCAGCTGAAAGGCGCCTGTCCAACTCAATTACAGTTAAGCTTATAGTCAAACATATTTAAATCGACGCCTCAGAAATACAGATAGCATTTGAACATACTTCTTTCTCACGGTTTTCCCAAAATCGCGGTCAGAAGCCACGGCGTCACCTGAGAATAAGTCCGTCACCCATCGATTCCGCCACACTTATCGTTCCGCGTGTTGAACGAGTAGACTGACACAGATAGCCTAGTTAAGACTTGGGCCTATATAATATACATAGGTCTATATATAGATAAATCAATTTATATGTTTAACTATGACAAACTGAAATAAATATACATATGCAGAATTTCCAGACTGATTTGATGTTTGTTGAATAGATGAGAATTAAACAAAGACAAGGAAAATTGGTAGGGATAAATAAATAACGTACAGCCCACAAGCAAGTAGTACAGTGGACAGCAGAAAAGAAACAGATTTGCAATCATGAACAAAGTATATGATTATGGTCACCGTAGGATAAAAAAGCTGACTTGAAAGTTCAGAAAAGAATAGTCTCATTTCATAGACAAAGAAACAAGCTGTTTTTGTCAGCAGGCTGTTGTTGATTGGGTGGTCTTTATATCAGCTTTTAATTTAATTTGTATTATTGAAGCAAGATAGCCGCCCCGGGTTGGAATCAGGGTTGCGTCAGGAAGGGCATCCGGCGTAAAACACGTGCCAAATGTCAACATGCGAGGCGTCAGTGTGACGATTCGCTGTGGTGACCCCCAAACGGGAAAAGCCGAAAGTAACTTTATTTTATTATTGAAGCAAGATAAATCCCTTTAATGTTAGCCACCCCAAGACAGAGCCATTAAAAGTTTTAGACAGTAACAATCCATCATGAAACAAACATATAACACTAGAATCAGACAACAATGTATGAGCACTTAAAAAAGATATGGACAAATGAGATTATAAAAACATGAATCAGTGTTAATGTTGTTATACTCTTTGTTATCTTTTCAGTTTACAGCCAAATATAATTTTATATTCTCTCAAAATGACCACCTTGTACAAAGCTAGAAACTGATGGTACAGCATACAAGTACAACAGCTTTTCAAACATAATATAGGTTACAGTTTATCCCCTTTCCATCATCACATTGCCACTGATCCCCTAATACTTTAGTGGAAATACTTATTCCTATGCATAATATTGCACATATCCACATCTGCACTACTCCTCTTCATCACATTTAATAGAAAGAATTAGATGGATTTAATCTGATTGGTGTGTACTGTATTTT